TTATTTCATATTTATGTTAACGACTTTCATGATATGCACTATCTTTATTTTTTTTGTATTTTAATCAGAGAAAAACAAGAAAAGAACTAAGAAATCCTTGTTACTGAAACCCCCGTCCAGAGCTAATTGTCTTGTAGAACACCTAATGAGTCGTTATTCATTATGATGGTGAATACAGGGAAGGCAGATGGCATGGTAATTTTATTGATTCTGTGATCCTACTGTAGCTTGTTGATTAAGTAGGATTGAATGCCACCGTCAGTGTGGCCAGATTTATATGAAGTTCTGTTTTGATTCAAGGATATAGGACAGTAACTTTCAGACAGCACTACTGGAGAGGCCTCTGAACTTGAAATATGCTATCTTTCTTTACAGTTGTAGCAATAGAGTATTTTTCCACAACTTCTACTGTAAAATTATTTCCACTGAAGTTGTCTATTAATTACTATTTTATTTAATTGTTGATTTTAATCTGCATGCGTTATTTTTTCAACTACCAAGTTAATCTCATCTCATCTCACCTAGTTGTAGCCATCTAGAAGTTAAATGTCCTCCATGGTTTAATGGAAAGAGAGACACTCATACACTTACACCTCTAGAGACCACTCAGCTCATTATCCTTATAGAAAAGCACCTTTATAGCATGTTCCATTCACCACTTTCAATTGTTTGGAAGATAGGGAAGTTTTGCTGTGTAAAAGTAAACATATCTTTACACATACCTAAGAGAGGACCATAATCCTAAAAGTTATGCATTTTTCCGAGAATGCTGGTAGATCTAAAGGGAGATCTTATTTCTCCTTATAAGCCTTTCAACACATAAATAATTAACATTGCATCCCTTGACTCCAAACTATTTTTAAATGCTCTAGTCTTACCTTGTTTTCTCATTGCTCTTTGTGCTTTAGAGCATTTACTGGCCTTCTCCAAGAAGAATTCGAACATTTATCATAAGAGTTTTATAAACTTTTTGCCCAGTATCTTGATGTCTGAAAGTGTGGGATCCAGTTGGCTTTAGTGATAACAATGACTAGATCACAATTCTTTCTTAAGTATAATTTATTACACTACCAGATTGTTTGTTTCTGTATTGCCCAACATGTCACCAGAGCTGTGTGTAAACCTTGAAGGAGTTATTCTCGATCTTTCCACTACTGGTAATTTCTTGGTACCTTTTACTACTACTTTTTTTTTTTTTTTAAAACAACAAACTGAATTTTTGTATCATCATCTTCTTGTTCCTCCAATTTTTTTTTTATGTCCAGCTTGTTTTGGTCATTGCATTTGAGGTACATAATTTAGCCCTTTCTAGAAAGCCAGATGCAGCTGCTCTCATTAATAGATCTTCTTTGATATTAATAATACTTTAAGCTATTTAAAGCATGAGATCAGAAACTATAGCAATTGTAGATGATCTCTAGCTTCCAATGTGTCATAAAATCTGTAAGGCATATGTGCGTTGCATATTATAATCTGCCCACAAGTGCTTGAACAAGTGATTTTTCTAGTATACTGTACACATACATTGCACAGAGAATTGTAGTTTTTTTCATGAACATTTGAATTTCAATCTGATCTGATTACTAAATTACAACATAGGCAAGAAGACAGCTGAAGAATGAGGAAACCACATGATCTATCAGTCAATCTAAAATTGAGAAATTTATTTTTTATCACAGTTAATCTTCCTTAATATGTTTTTCATTTATGAGTCTGACTTATAATTTGGTTCTAATTACTGCTTTAGTCCAAGCAAAATTTCTTATAAAAATTAGTTCTTACTTTTGGTGTATATAATCAAATTGATAGGATCCTCTTCAAAACTTACATCTAAAATAAAATATAAGGTCTACTGTATCACAGCTTACCTGATATATTACTAACCTTGATTCACTTTCCTGATTTTCAGGATGTTTAATTGTACAAATTGTTACTTCACTGAAAAAGTCTTTATGTGTTTTTGTGTGTGTCACAATAAATACTGTCTTTACAAGACTAATCTTCAATCACATCCTAATCTTAAACTTTTTAATTGTGCCAATTTAGCTGTTATTTGTATAATCTTAAGATTACCACTTAAATGTAAACAACGCTGTATGAAATCTTGTTTTGTAAAGTTCTGAGTATTTCCTGCAAGAAGTAGAGAGCGCCCAGCTCTCCATTCAGACATATGGTCTCTCCTAGAGAACTTTTTGTCTTATATAGCCTTTGGCCAAAGCCCACCCTCTGCAGTCTCAAATTTTCTTCCAGCTGCTGAGAAAGGTGAAGTATAGAACATATGCAGCTCATAGACTTATCTTTACATTGGATTCTTATTTAAATATTCAGAGAGAGAGCTTTTCAACAAAATATTTGTTAAGATAAGCTTAGAAACAAGTAAAATTCACTTCTGATCAAATTCTGACCTTAAAAAAATAGGGATACCACTCTAACAATTTCAGAAAAGTTTTGGCTAGTTATCTTTGAAAAGAATTAGCTTTCTTGTATTTTGGAGAGAATGGTATGCAGAACAGAACATGTATTTTCTCTTTGTATTTCTCACACACATGTAGAAGAAATGAAACCCACTGTCTCTCATTCTCTAAACTGAGAATCAGTATCATTGACATATTTTATCACTTAAACAAATATGTTTGATTCACTGTCAGTTTTATCCTAGAATGATCCCAATGAGCTTCAAAATGGTTATATGCAAATAATACAGCTGTCTAAAATTACTTGGCAAGGCATAATTACTGAACACAGTCTTTCCATCAACTTAAATATCATTGTTTTAACCTAGCTTAGGTCATAAGGGAAACCAACTACACAGCAAACATATGTCAGCAGCACAGAGCTTCCCTATCATTTCAAACAACTCGGCACAGCCGGTAGCATCTGCTCCCAGGAAGCTCAGGAAAGAAGCAGCAGGTAGTGCTGCAGGATAGGAATCAAGTGAATTAGTAGAGCTACAAGTATGCCAACAAACTCGTATAATAGCTTCTAGACTATGCATGGTTACATACAGTGAAAGCAGTCCATGAGTACCAAAATTCATTATACTTAAGAAAAATGATTACAGTCATATAATCTAATGGTTGAATCAGCATGGCTGCACATCTCAAGCATTCTGCTTTTGACCCTGAACGAAATGAAAGCTACTGAAGGGACAAAAAAATTTTAGATATTTCTAAACATTAAATGGTTGGCATAGATTTAATAAGAAATGTAGGAATAAGATTTGAAATATATGCCTGGGAAGCCAACGGAAGGCAAAGTAATAAAATAGAGCAAAACAGAAGAAGGTAACAAATGTAAAAAAAGAGGTGTATACTCTGACCTAGTGAGAAACACTCAAAATGACACTTCTGTTCTGTTGTTGAACCCACTTCCTGTTCGGAAAACCTTATTCTCTCCATGTCTTACATACAGTAAAGCACAACATTTACTTTTCAAAAAATGTAAATAGTAAATAAGAGCTGCTTATGAAATAACTAGACAAAAACATGTTTACTTCAGAAAAATGCACTGCAGGTAGATTTGAAAACAACAGAAAAAACGTTTTAAGCTTCAATTTCAGCAATTACTTTTAATTTCCTTTCATAATGTTTTTCTTTGTTGTAAGACGATAAACACCTTTGTTATTTTTTCATTTCCTTAAAACATGAACAGGGAATACTCCAGATATCTTTCCTCCTTCATTGCTCTCTTCAGAGCACTTTCATTTATGTATTTCTTCCAAGAAATGTATTTGACAAAGCATCAGTAACACTTCTATTTTCATGGCACTTCTGGAAATGATATTCTAACCCATAAACAGCATGTTAAGAACTAAATCCTCATCTTAGGAATCAGAGAAAAACCGCAACAAATAAATGACAGATAGTCATCGGGCCAAAAGGAGAAGAAAGAACATTCATTTGAGCATGTTTCCAACATAAGTCACCAAGTTTGCCCCCATCATCATTACTCAATACTTTTTAATCTCTTAAATGGATTTTTGAAGGTTAAAAGGATATCTGTTTGGCTCTTAATAATAAAAGTTACCCTTAAAGCATATTTCCTGGCTTACCGGAGTATTTTGGGCACGTACCATACAACTTGCTATTCATTAGAAAGGTGTTCATTTTGGAAACCGCCCCAGCGAATTCTGAAATAGCAAACTGCTCATCTGTACAGTGCCAGATTGCTGTCTAAACTTTGCTATCTCGACCATTTTGCATCATATTGTTATATATATTATTTAAAGGATTAAAACAGTATATTTAGATACCTCCTGTTTAGGAGATATTTTATGAGAAGGGCTGTAATAATTTTTACAACAATCTAGCATAAATCAGCTAAGGTAGAGTTGAGAAGTACTCCCAGTAACTGCTTTAAAATGAGCTGGGATACTTCACAAAGTGAACACCTTCCTAATGAAGCAGACCTGTTAATCCAAACAATCCCAGATTTCATCCAACAGGCATTCTGGAAATTGTTAATATTGTAACTGAAAGGTGTTGACAGACTTATCCAAAAAGGCAAAGCACTCCACTTTCCTGAACAGCACAGCATTGGGATTCATTTCTCTTGGAGCAAAGGAACTTCACTAGAAGATGGTGCACTGAACACGAACTTATATTGAAAACGCTCACTGGTACTCCCCATACAGCATCATTTACAGCAACGGAACTGTAGAAGTCAGTGGTGGGGGAAAAAAAAAAAGCAGCCCACCTCTGTGGCTGCACAGTCCTGGAAGACAGGTTTGAAGTGTGTTGATATGCATGCACACTGCTTCAGGAAGTGCTGATGAGACGCCATGGTACACCAGCCTATTTTGATCACTGGACTTTTTTTATTTGGATACCACACTCAATTCCAACTGAAAATTCTTTACTGGCCCTGAACTTAAAAGGAACTTGTCTAAGCAGCGCCTTGTAGTCATATGCTGTGCTACTAATAATGGTTCTGCGTGGGTGTGATTGCCCAAGCAGACTGCATCGCATGAAGGTAGACATGATCATTGACAAGAGCCTTACCTGACTGACCCGGGGGTGGGACTCCTGATGATCCTCTTGGTAGACATAAAAAGACTGTGAGGACTGCTGCTTTGTTTCCTGAACATGGCTCAATGGCAATTGGTTTAGGAGCACCCTGGAAAAGGAACGTACTTCTGTAATATCTGATAGACTTCCATTACATTTTTACTTATATCTCTTTAATATATTTTAAGGATCACTGTAACTGTATAAAGCTATTTTTCCCAATTAGTTCTTCACATTTAAGCAGATTGTCCTTCCCATGTTAATTGACTTAAAAATGGGCTTTAACAGCCCACGCAGCAAACCTAATCAAACAGAAAAAATGAAATGATCATAAAGACAACAAAATTATACTTGCTGTTTTATAGCTCGCTAAATTTAGTGATATGAACTTATTAAGCTTAGAAAATGGCAATACTTTTTTGGTACACACAGTGGTATCTGTGAGTAGCATAGTTTTCCTGTATTCTATGGATAAGAAAAATCTGTGAAAGACTTTTGTCCCAATAGCCATCTGTTACCTAGCCCTCTTAATGTCAAAAACATAAAATGAGACCCAGTCAACCTTTGGGGCTTTTATTCCTATCTTTTGAAGAGATTCATTTTTACCACTGTAAAACAATACTGTTCATCATTACCACAGACAAAATGAATGATGGACATGCACACAGTAGTAAGTAAATATCTAAAGATATAAAGATATTCAATCCTTTTTATGTTTCCCTGAACAGTAAGGTGGCCTTCTCTGTATCTGCCCTGATAAGCAAATAAACTCTTTAAGGCAGGTCCTTCTTGAATATTTTTTGCATACACAGACAACAGATGCATTCTTACTATATTTAAATAAACATAGAATCTTCCTGTAAATGTTGCCCGTTCAATTAGTGACTTAGTTTGCCTCACATAAAACTATGATAACAGTATTTTTGCTGGCAGTAGGTATCGGCTGTTACAACGCATCTCTCTCTTATAGCTACATCAACCTTTTAAGTTGCAGTTGTGTTTTGACTACATGGTTGCTGCCATACTGTTCTCAAGTTACCGAGACTCGGGAGCCTTGAAGCTGCAAGAAAGCAGAGCAGCCTACAAACCCATAGAATATAAGTTTCTAATATTAGAATTTATAATGCTTCCCTCTTTTGTGCGCACTAAGAGATAGGATTTTCACTTTTGAGAGTCAACTGAAGTTATTTCTGAAAGCATTAGGTCAAAATCAGCATAAGCATTTGTTTCTCTTTCTTGTTTGCAAATTTTTATAATGTCTATCATGTTCCAAGGCAAAATAAGTTTGGCGTTTTGATTCAAAATTCAAAGCCATAAAACTTTCCATTTACATGCAAAATGCAAAGTATACATAAACGTCAACTGATTCAAATAAGCTAAGAAAATGATAGTTTAGCCAAGTTAAAAATACATTCCAAAGTACTCAATAAAAAGAAAAAAAAGGCTCTTCTATCATGTAAAGCAATTATCAATTTCTTTTTTTCTGTCTCCAAGTAATTGCCATTTATTAGTGCTCAGTGAAAATGAGGATACAGAGAATGCTACAAAAAATCAGCCAATAGATAAGTATACTTATTTTTACTACATGGCTATATTTGAGATGCATTTTGGTAGACGCATTTGAGGCAATAGCATTAAAATAGCTTAGGTGAAGAACGTCACTAACTATAATTGACCTGACAGAGCGAATGACAATTTAAAGTCATTAAAACCTTACCAAACAACGAAATAGAAAAGCTAAAACCCCAAAGACCTTCAACTAATAACAATCACCTTTTAACAAACAACATGAGAAATACTGACTGAACAGAGTGCACTGCATCTGTAGCATTTAATGTATTTCTTTTGCAATGCAAAGGCCTAATGTTGGCCAGCAGCAACGGATAAAAGAGAACAGATTCTGAGCTTGTGTAAGCTACCGCATATGTACTGACTTCCATGGATCTGTGATCACCGGGCCAGTCAGTGCTGGGTGATATGCTTCTGTATCAGAAGTAATGCAGAAAAGGGGCGGGGGGGAACAAGAAGAACCGTTTCTATATTAGCAATATTGTCTACACTCGCACAAAAGTAGCTCCTGTGGCTTACAGGAAAAGAAATAGTCTGAGAAAGTTTTCTTATCAACATTTCTTTGAGTTATATATGCTGAAGGGCAATGTAAAAAACAACATAAAAATAATGGTAATTTCTTCTGATCACACTGTTTAGTACAAAAAAGGGTCTTGATAGGATCACTTAAACTAGCAGCTAGTCTGTGCCCTACGCTGTTTAAATATAATTAGACAAGCGTAGGCATAGAGTAACACAACACCAGCACTGACAGCAGTCTGTGACGCGGACCTCTCTGCTTACTTCTCAGTGCATGAGATCTCAGTCCAAGTGGTGCCTGTGCTTACGGTCACAGGATGGAAGACACAGTACTGCTACATGTGAGGACATCATGCCTTCTAGGGAGACTCGTTGAAGGAAAGGCCCCATACATTGCACTACCTTAGCAGCCAGAGACCACTCCCTCTGTCATACGACCACTGCATATATGTGGCACTGCTCGTGGACAGATCAGAGATCTGAGACACATAGAAGGAAAGAAGAAGCACACGGAAGACAAGTGTGAAGTCATACTTTTAGTCAAACTTTTAGTTCCTACTTCACACTGCATTGGCCTTTCTCCTGCATCTTGAACGCAAAATAGTCTTCCCAGCTCTAGGCAAGTTCTCGCAACAGCAGCTGAGGACAGAGCAGACTGGGTACTCTTAACCTCCAGTGAGGAAAGGGTGGAGGTGGCTATTCAGTGATTCAGGTGCAGTCACTAGTAACATGCAGAGATTTTACAGATAAATACATTTCCAGAGGGGATCACAGACCGCCTTCCACTATATTCCTGAATCCTTATACAGCATTTGCAATTAAAAGAATTAGTATTATTAATGCAAGTAACAGAGGACTTAAGTCATCTCCCCTGATCTACTTGTCACAAAGGCAGATAAAACACGCTGTGACTCCTTTTTATTTAGAAAGAGAAGAAAAATGAAGTCTTCATTTTACAAGGTAATTCAGAATACTATTTATGCAGACACACAACTGAAAGGAACAAATTTACCATTATGCCTTTTAATTTGATGAATAATTACTTGACTATAAATCAAAATGATGATATTTTCTGTTGCAGTGTAATGTAAAACCTTTCATTAACAGGCCCTGTCCTTGTCTGTTTAAAGCGTATACTTTTCAAAACATAATTGGAGGAAATTATATTTTTGATAAACACTTTTTCAGAGGATCTCATCCAAAACTCAGATACAGTAAGAATTTTCTGTTTGTGCTTTGAAACTAATGGCTTTTCATAGAACATTATGCCTAAAAGAGCAGAAGCATTATCTTACCATATATCATTCAGATTCACTAGCGAAAAACCACAGAAGCATAGAGCAAATGATGATAATTTAGATACCCTGAGGTTTGTCAGTTGTTTAAAGATAAATACATAACCATGTATCAAAGTTATTTCACAGTGTAATAACATGTTCGCTGAAATGTGCCATTTATCACGTATTTTCCACAGGTTTTTTGGAAGAGATAAGGTACGTGTTTGCTTGCCCAAAGCACTTAGCTACCATGATTTACTTGCTAGAATTGTCTTTTTTTCCCCCTTGTACAGAAAGAAGTGAATTATGTTTTGCCAAAAAGCACAAATGACAATCACAGAGTTAATAAAACTTTATCAGTGAAAGTCACAATAAACAAACATTTCTCTTATTACATAACCTTCTACTCCTCTTGTTTGCACAAACTAAGACAGCAAGAGATGGGAAGGTGAAAGAGAAAGTGGAAGGGAACCACAAAGGAACAAAAAGGTCAAAGAGCAGATAATATAACTGCTAATGAAAAAAGAAAATCAAATCTGAAGTAGAAAAAAGAACTAAGTAGAAAGAGTAGGCATTAAAACAGAGAGCAAAAGAAAAAAATAAAGTTTTATCCAAATTTTAAATGTAAATTCAGAGAGTCATTTACTCATTCACAAAAACAAGTACAAGAAGAAGTCTTCCTACATTTTATCGGAGAAAAGGCGCTCTCTATCTAAGAAAAGTTTTGGAAAGTACTACAAAGGTCTCGCTAAAGTTCAGTTGCCTGAATGAGCTTGAGAGGGACTAATGAGCTTTGGGAAGATTCTTCATTCGTCTCTGGTCCGTTCCTATAACTGGGTAACTTAGCACAATCTGCTTCATAATGACAAGAAGGTAGCAAAATAGGTTTATATTTCGTTTAAAAAGCTAAATTTATTAAAAAACAAAAACAAACAATCTTACATTGTGTCGATTTGGCAGTTTAGGAATAACCTGAATGAGCAGCTTTAAGAGTCCAGCCCAGGAAAAAGAAAGAAGCTGTATTTGGCCATCCTTACTGGGCAGGATGGGCAACAAAAACAGCAGCAGTAAAGAGGCAAGAAGAGTGGGAGGAAATAATGACGAGAAAGATGCTGCTCATTGATTGCTATAAGAGCTTGGAACCTCTTAGGGGGAAAATGTACTGAAACTTTAGCATCTCTTCTTATCTGACTATCAATGAAACTATTTCTTAATATTATGAATCAAGGGAGACGAAAAGTGTAAAAGGTTTTGGATCAATCTGTATTCCAAGAAGAGGTATCTTACTGAACTGCTACAGAACTTCAGATTTTCAGTACTTAGTAATATATATATTTTTTTCTGTTCAGCATTCTAGGTGCATCCAATTTTTAAAAGTGCATTATTATACCATAAGACAAATAGACCACGTAAGACTAAATGGCTCCAATCTCATGCCAAAAAAGCAATTAGAAAATTGAATCAAGGAATTAAGGATTAATGTGGGCATGTTACACCTGTCAGCAGTAATAAGTATTTTGACAAGAACAGAATAAAGTTTGACAGTGTGCACAAATATAGATCTGATATATAAATCAAGTATTAAAATGAAAACAGCTATGCATTAATCACTAATGTTTCCTTAAAAAAATGGTTTTAGTACTACTTATGAGAATTCATTATAAACAAAACTTCATCTCTTCTTTTTAAAAAAGTTTGACTTATTCTTTTTCTTTTAGTAATAAATGATAATGATTTAAACTTA